GTCCCCCCGCTGGGGCTGATCTCGGGCCTGTTACATCTCCCTTTTCCGGGTCTGCAGGGCTGTGGGATGGCCTTGATCGCGGAGGCCGCGCGGCTGCACATGCAGCTCCCGGCTCTGTCCGCCTTCGACTGGCTCCGCGGGGTCGGCGACCTCGCGAGGGTGGACCCCGACGTCCTCCGCTTCCTTCACCGGGCCTTCGCCAAAACCTACGCGGATATCCCCCCGGTCCAATTCTGCACCGCGTTAAAAAGCCTCGAGCGAGGGAGGGCCCCCGAGGTCGTGGATCCGGAGGACTGGAGGGGATTTCTGCTGTTTTGCGCGGAGACGATCCGGGGGTATTTTGGTCAGGGCCTCGGCCTGGGCTGTTTGATGGCCCTAACAGGGGTGGTGTATCGACTGGGCGGCCGCGATGACGGGTTTTACGACGCCGCTGCGGCCTTCGCGCGGACGAAACTCCGCCGCGCCGACGCCGCCTTGCAGGACAAGGATGCCGCGCGGGAGATGAGCCACGCTCTCGGTGAAGAGCGCCTCCGCGGCCTCTCCGACCTCCGCGAATTCCTCCTCGCGGCGGGAGAAAAGGGCCAGAGCGGGGAGTCCAGCCTCCTACCGACGGCGTGGATGAATTTACACGACCCAGCGAACCGCCTCGTGGAGCGGACAGAAACACAAAAAGAGGCCGCCGCGGTGCTCGAGGCGATGTGGCGAACGCGATCGGCGGATCGCGAGGCTCTGCTGAAGCTCGCCGCGCAGTATATCGCCCTCCTCCCCCGTTCGCATCCGGACGATCTGAAAGAATTCTTCGCCGTCTTCGAGGAAAAAGTCCTGAAGGAGGATCGGGTGCTCAAGGACTGCCTGGATGGGGTTTTCACTACCGCGATCGTTCAACGGCTCTCCGCCCAGACGATTGCGGGGATCTTGCACAGCCTTGCCACGCTTCGGTTCACCTTTTCCAGGTCGATAAAACAATTCCTCCTGGGGGTGACCACAGAGCAGTGGGGAGAGATGGAGGCCGTGCCGCTCGTTCAGATTCTTGCCGCGATGGCGAGACTTTCTTTGCGAATCCCAGCGGTCCTCGACGCCGTGGGCGATCGGCTCGCCGAGCTCACGCCATTTCTTTCCCCGCACGATACCGCCGATGCAATTCGCAGCCTGCAGATGCTAAACTGCCCAGACGATGCGAAAATGATGGGGTTAATACGCCACGCCGCGTCCTGTGCGGGGCGTTTTGACGAGGCGAGTATGGTTTTATTATTTACGTCGCCATCAATTCACCGACTTTTGCGCTCGCCAGATGTGGCGATGCCGCTTCTTAAAGGCGCATCCGTGAAGGTGGGTTCTTTACCCCTCCGCCAACGCATCGCCGTGGTGATTCGAAAGACAGGCCTGCCGAAGGAGTTAATCGAGGCGTCGTTAACAAGGCTGAGGATTGAAACTCATAATCAAGACGACTTACCTTTAAGACTGACCTAGTGGAAGTTTTTTTTTCAGAGCTCTCGACTTCCCGTGAACACACATCCCTGAACCAATTAAATAGCTTCACCAATGCGAATGAGCAAGTCGACATTGTGTAAACTGAACAACTTGGAATAAAAAAGGGTTATGTGTACGTGCGTTTTATCTATAGGTTACCTGGCTTGATTATTATTAACGAACACAAATACATATTAAATAAAAATATTTTAGTTCACTGTCATTTGAGGTATAAATTTGATCATTACAATCCTTTTTCCCGGCTATTTTTCTTCTACAAGATGCCCTCATCCTAGGGGGCCTGTTTCTTCAGCTACAGGTCAAAATGTATATCCAATGGTAAACTCATCATCCTAAAGGCTACTGCATACGATAGAGGATGAATGGTATTATTATGAACATGACAGCAAGTGTTCTAAATACAATTCCAGTCAATAAAAACTCTACGTGCCCTTCTTTTCTGTTAAAGAGGAAGATAATATTGATAACAAAAAAATCAAGACAGATCTCATGGTTTGAAATATCCAAACGATTTTGTCGTCCGAGATCACGAGAATGATGCCGAACGATACAAAGAACATACACGCGTTTATCTGCCTTTCACAACGCGTTTTTAGTTATTTCAACAGTGCAAGTGGCTCTCTGAGATCGCAAAAGCGGAATATTATGGAAACACAGAAAAAGTGCTTCGAGATCTAAAATTAACGGTAGACGTAGCATCACACGAGCCCACATTCATTATGAATGTGGAAAAAAATGAGTGCCTCATATGCGTTACCGAAGCCGGCAAAGGTGAAGCACTCGGGCTTTCAAATTGCAAACACTTTTTTCATCATGAATGCTGGAGAACATTTGTTAGACATAGTTTAGATACCAACGAAAATTTATGGAACTTTCGCTGTCCGATGGACGGATGTCTTGAGTTAGTTGACGCACAATGCTTAAAGCAACTGTTTTCTGCACATGAAGAAGCCCCTTTACGCTTGAAAATTGAACAACATTTACTACAAAGGTACGTGGATACGTCTCCACGGTTGAGTTGGTGCCCAAACGAAAAAGGCTGTGAGGGTATTATTTATACCCCAAAAGCCCTTCACTCACGTGAAGCTGTGGAATGCGACGTTTGCCACCTACACTTTTGTTTCCACTGCAAAAAGATTCCCCACTCACCGGCGTTCTGCAATCAAGTGCAAAAGTGGCTTCATAAAATAGACGAAGATCTTCCTAATACGGCATTTGTATTGGTTCACACAAAAGGTTGCCCTAACTGCAACGTGAGAATTGAAAAATACATGGGATGCAATCACATGACCTGTACATGTGGCTATCAATTTTGCTGGATGTGCCTGGGAAAATGGTCAAGCCATGCGGGAAACTACTTTTCTTGCAATAATGCCAAACAAGGTGGCCAAGGTCCAAAGGATGAAGAAAACGAAGGAGTAAAGTTCTATAAATATTACGAAAAATATATGAATCAACAAGACAGTAGCAAAAAGGAAAACAATCAACTCGATATGCTGACAAACCACACCTCAGATTTTCCACAACCTCAACCAAATTCATATTCACTCCCTAACAGCCCTGATTTTCTGGCTAATCTGTTAGGAAGTGTAAAAAGCGCTCTAAGCATTGCGCGGGAGCGTATTGCTTTTGCTACAGTACGTAGCTACTATAGTGATAGTGATAAAAATGAAACCCGACTCTTTTTGTACCGAATGGGTTCGCTTGAGGAGGCAACAGAAAATCTTAGCCATCAACTATCAACCCTGAATCACATCACACTAATTAATGTAAAGGAATTACAGAAGGGGTAAGCATGGTAAGTCAATGGATATCCATTTTAGAGGAATGAAGATTCTTTCTACAAGGAGTTGCTGGATCTACCAAAATACATACTTGAGAGTATCTAGATCAGCGTGTTTTTTCCTAATAACACTGGAATGCGCTTGATAAATTACAGGCTCTTTTAAAAAAAGTTGATTCTTTTTTATTCATTTTTTGATTTTTAAGAGAGTAAAACGTCTTATTTTTCTTGCCATAATACCTGTAATTTATCGTGTTATTTATCAATTCTTGACGAATTATCGGCAAAAAAAAGTTGCAATATTGGTGCTCATATACTTCTCGTACTAAAACCATCAGCTCGACAAACCAAAAAGAATAAAAATATTTCTGCGGTGTGCATTCCAAAGCACGAACTTCCACTGGACTCTATGAAATCAGACGTACACAATCAGAGGTTTTACACTATGATGCTTTCTGAACGTCACAGTGGAGCAGCCTATTTAAGTCATTGTAATTTCAATACGTCCTCCTTTAGCCTAACTTCGCAAATAATGTTCATAAACAGTGAAAAGCGTTGTCCAGGACAAATATTGAAAAACGGAAAACCGGTTAACAAATCAGCCTCGCCCATTGCTTAACCCAGACATGTGTAAGTATATTGGTATGCCGGTTTGTTTGGTGTCCCATAAAAAGATAAGTCCTTCACTCATGCGAATTGTTTTAATTGGGTAAAACTTCGTGGTTTCTTGAAGCTCAACAGGTGCGTCGAGAATGAGGTGGAGCACTCTTGCAGACAACGATGTCTGGGTATGGTGAAGTGTGTATGGTTTTGCCTTCTATAAGAGGTCAGTCACCGAATGATTTTAGCTATGCGTTTGAGAGCAAACTCAATGACTATTTGGATTTACACGCAGATGCCGTAAGCAGGATGAT